CCAGAAGCAGAATAAACGTGGTGATAAATTCCAGAAGTTAGAAACCTCAACTTCTGATGAAAAGAAATATCAGAAGGGAAAAGAAAGGTATGACAATAAGAAGGTTCAATGTTACTGTTGTAAACAGTTTGGCCATTTTGCCAGAGATGGTAGAAACAGAGGAAGGAAATCAGAAGAAGCAAATATAGCCAGAGGAGATTCTGATGATGAACATGTGCTACTGATGGCTTCTGATTCTGATGAAAACTGTTCAGAAGATTGGTGGTATATGGACACTGGCGGTTCAAATCACTTGACTGGGAACAAACAATGGCTGATAGACTTTGACTCCAGAAGGAGAACAAAGATCAGATGTGCTGATGATAAGTATCTTAATGCAGAAGGTATGGGAAATGTCAGAGTCAGAGTGAAGAATGGAAAAAACCTGTCAGAGTGAAGAATGAAAAAAACATTCTGATCAAAGATGTTTGGTATGTTCCTGGAATTAAAAGCAATCTGATGAGTGTGAGTCAGCTTATTGAGAAAGGTTTCTCAGTGGTTATGAAGGACAACCTCTTGACGTTGTATGATTCTAATCAGAAGTTGATTATGAAGTCTGAGCAGGGAAGCAACAGGACATTCAAGGTGAATGTAGAAACAGCTGAAGCAGAGTGTCTTAGTGCAGAAGGCGTTGAAGGTGACAGTAAGCTATGGCACAAGAGGTTGGGGCACTTGAACTATAGAAGCTTAGGGCATCTAAGTTCTAAGAAGCTCGTACATGGCATTTCGAAGATTGTGAAGCCTCAGAAGTCATGTGAGATATGCATGAAAGGCAAGCAACCCAGATTGCCATTTGCATCAGAAGTAGCCCCCAGAGCAAAGCATGCTTTGGGAGTAGTACATTCTGATGTGCGTGGACCATTTCCAGTATCTTCACTTGGAGGAAACAAATATTTTGTGTCTTTTGCGGATGAGTTTACAAGAATGACACGGGTAACACTCATCAAGTTCAAGCATGAAGTGTTTACTGAGTTCCAGAATTTCAAGGTGAAGGATGAGAAGCAGAGTGGTCAGAAGCTGAAGATTCTGAGAACAGATGGTGGAGGTGAGTATAACTCTACAGAGTTCCAGAAGTTCTGTGAGGAGAATGGAATAGAACATGACGTTACTGCTCCATATACTCATTAGCACAACGGTCTTGCTGAAAGAAGAAACAGAACTTTGCTTGATATGACCAGAAGTATGCTGAAAGAGAAGAAGCTACCTCATATGTTATGGGGAGAAGCTGTTGCCATGTCAGCATATGTTCTGAATAAGTGTCCAACAAAGAAGCTGAAGGAAATTGTTCCTTTAGAAAAATGGACTGGAGACAAGCAAAGTGTTAGCCATCTGAAGGTGTTTGGTTTTGTATGCTACAAACATGTTCCAGAGGCTAGAAGACGAAAACTGGATGATAGAAGCAAAGTAATGTTACTAGTGGGGTACCACAATACAGGTGCCTATAAGCTTTATTGTCCAGAAACCAACAAAGTTGAAATCAGCAGAGACGTCATTGTGAAAGAGTCAGAAACATGGGATTGAAACAAGCTTCAATCAGATTCTGGTGTAGCGCCAACACCAGAGTTAGTTTCTGAAGATTCTTCAGAAAGTTCTGAAGACGAGTCAGAAGATGAAGACTCTGAAGATGAGTCAGAATCTCAGGGAGATTCTGATAGTGGATCTGATTCTGATTCTGATTCTGATGATGATCCAGAATCTGGTGGTGATTATATTTCTGGAAGGAAAAACTCTGAAGACATAGGGTCTGGAGAACAAGTTTCCAGAAGTAACTCTGAAGGTGGTAATTCTGAAGGAAGTAGTTCTGGACAAAGTCCAGAAGCTAGCATTGTTCTGAGTTCTGGAGAAGCTTCAGAACAAGTTCAGAGGCCATAGAGAATCAGACGAATACCAAGTAGGTTTGCAGATTTTAGCATGTTTCATGATACTGAAGTAGATTCTGAAGGAGAAATCGTTCAGTGTGCCATGTTAGTAGATTCTGAACCAGTGGGTATTGAAGAAGATCTCAAGAAGAAAGTATGGCTGAATGCCATGAAAGAAGAACTTGAGGCTATTGAAAGAAACAAAACATGGAAGCTGACGAAGCTTCCAGAAAAGAAGAAAGTCATCAGCGTCAGATGGGTTTTTAAGGTGAAGCTTAAGCCAGATGGATCAATTGGCAAATACAAAGCGAGACTAGTGGCTAGAGGTTTTCTTCAGAAACCTGGACTAGATTACTTTGAGGTGTTTGCGCCTGTAGCTAGACACGAAACAATCAGACTGGTGATTGCTTTAGCTGCAAACAAAAATTGGCCTTTGATACATCTGGATGTAAAGTCTGCATTTCTGAATGGTCCGTTACAAGAAGAGGTATATGTGACGCAACCTCCTGGATTTGTGAAAAAGAATCGGGAAGGGATGGTATACAAGTTACATAAAGCCTTGTATGAACTGAAACAAGCGCCCAGAGCTTGGAATCTGAAAATTGATTCGTTTTTCAAGAGGCAGAAGTTTCAGAAATGTGAGATGGAGTATGGCGTGTATGTGCAGCATTCTGGTAGCAATATGATTCTGGTGTGTCTATATGTTGATGACATATTGCTAACAGGAAGTTGTTCAGAAGATATAGTCAAGTTCAAAGAAGTTCTGATGAATGAATTTGAGATGACAGATCTGGAAAATATGGTATATTTTCTAGGAATGGAGATTCTGTACTCAAAGAAGGGTATCATTCTGCATCAGCTGAAGTATGAACTTGAACTTCTGAAGAGATTTGAGCTAGAAAATTGCAAGGTTGCTATCACACCTGTTGATACGAATCAGAAGTTGGACTCTGATTCTGATGGAGAGGATGTGGATGCTACAACCTTCAAACAGATGGTTGGTTCTCTGAGGTATTTGCGTAATACCAGACCTGATATTTGCTATGCAGTTGGAATGGTTAGCAGATACATGAGCAAACCAAAGTGGTCTCATTACCAAGTTGCTGTCAGGATTCTGAGGTATGTAAAAGGAATTCTGAAATATGGAGTGTTATTTCCGTCTGAAAGAAAGATCGAATCAGAACTTCTGAGTTATTCTGATTCTGATTGGTGTGGAGATAGAGTTGACAGAAGAAGTACTTCTGTGTACTTGTTCAAGTTTTTGGGAGGTCCAATTTCTTGGAGTTCCAAGAAACAGCCTGTTGTGGCTTTGTCAACATGTGAAGCTGAATACATTGCAGGTGCTGTAGCTGCATGTCAAGCTGTTTGGCTTCTGAATCTTCTAGAGGATTTAAAGATTGAAATAGAGAAACCTCTGAAGTTGTTGATTGATAACAAGTCTGCAATCAATCTTGCCAAGAATCCTGTGCTATATGGAAGAAGTAAACATATTTAGATGAAGTATCATTTTCTGAGAAGTCAAGTGCAGAAAGGAGTGTTAGAAGTTCTGCACTGTAGCACTCAGGAGCAGCTGACAGATGTTCTGACGAAGGCGATAAAAACAAACCAATTTCTTCGCTTGAGAGATGAAATTGGTGTTGCTAACTTCTGACAGTTACTAAATTACGGGATGGTATTAGAGGGTAATTTAGTATTTGCCATTTGTTGGATATTCTCTTTAGGCCCTATGTGGCATCCTTATCTTTACTACTTTTGTGTATAAATAGGTGTACTAGGTTTACATTTAATACAATCAATTCTCTTCCATCATTTGTGGCAGCTTTATAGCATTTATTCTTTTTCTCTCTTCTTCCTCAAATTCATCACCTTGCACCAACACTCTTCATAATAGAATGGAAAGTTTATAGTCATGTTGCTGCAGTTGACAAAGAAAGCAATCATTGTTTATCCCAACAGCGGAGAAGTATGGGATGGTATCGCGAAGAAATGGCTTGTAAGTTGGGGTTTTCTCCCTCCATCTCTTTTTCATTCATTTTATATCTTACACTCTTGGTTAATCCAAATCCTTTACTGTCGGTTTGATACACATCAAATTTAATGTTTACAAATTAATCTATTTGTGTTTTTAAATTTCTTTTCACCAACAGCCATCCAAGTGTTTTCATGATGATGATTTTGGATTTCATGCAACAAGATGGCGTGATTTAGGAGCTAAAATAATAGGAGGTTGTTGCCGGACTACACCGTCCACCATTCAAATTATTTCAAATGCTTTAAGAAAAAACATTTAGTCGTGCTCATTTTCATTTTCCGAGATTGTCTAGGAATTTTCTATACATTGAAGTTCTAAATTTTAGTTCCTTTAAGTTTATTCATTCAAGTTGAAAGCAAATGGAGTCTTTTTCCATGATGAGAGTTACCTGTGGAAGTTTTTGGCGTAAACCTTATACTGGAGAGTTGGTGTAGTGTCTCAGACAGTGGAGTTGCTGCAATTCAAAGTAAAGTCAAATGCCTTTCTAATTTACGTGAATTCACGTTATACAATTAAGTATACACGACTCTAATGCATAAATTTACATACACGCATTAAATTTTAGAATTTTAAAAAATACATGCATTATTTTGTTAGAACAAGACTCGGATTTCACTAATGATCTTTGATTAATTGTTATAGTTTGTAAGAGGACTCGGATTTCACAAATGATATATGATTATATATTATAGTTTGTTACAAACTTGTACACACACCAACTAACTAACCGTACAAAATAGAATTCTAACAAACTAACACCAAAAGCTCTTAACTAAATAACTAATTGTTTGTTAATGCAAGTTACCCTTCAAAACCATATTTGATTTAAACTCGCAACATATTTGAGTTTAAATGTGATTTATAAATGCAGAAAATTATAGAAAATACAGAATAGGACAATTTTTTAATAATATGGAAACATTCATGGCTAGTCATTTTAAAAAGTCAACACATGCTCCCACCAATGAAAAGGCACAAGACAAGGGATGGGGTCATAGCCCCACCTACTATTAATATACATAATAATGATGGTTCACAAGTGAATTAAGTGGGCTCAGTTAAAACAAACAATGATAAAGAACCATATTGAGGGTTCTAATATCCCTAAACTCCTTGATGCCAAGTTGAAACATGCAAATTTGCAGAAGAATGTTGAGCTAGACAGTATCCTTGTGATTGTGGAAACCATGTTTGATCCTAATAAACTCAAAATTCTTTTAAATTATTAGGTTTTGATGGTTGACATTTCTCTGTTGTTAGAGGTTATGCGGGAGGTATTGTGGTTGTGTGGAGAGAAGGTGATTAGCATGAGCTTAATTGAGATTTTTTTTTAATATATTCACTTTAGGGGTATGTTTCTAAGTGGTAATGATTGGCTTTTTTCAACAGTTTTTGCTAGTCCGAATGAAGACAGAATAAGAGGTTTGTGGGATGACGCGAGGATTATTGTAGTTTCTATACAAAGTGCATGGTTGGTCGCAAGAGACTCTAATGATATTGCAAGTGTTCCGGAAAAAGGAGGAGTTCATGCGTCTGCTTGCAAATGTGGTAAATTTGTGGAGAGATTTAATGCTTGCAACCTTATTGATTTGGGGGTTAGGGGTCTCTCTCTCTCTCTCTCTCTCACACACACACACACACACACACACACACACACACACGCGCGCGCACACATGCACACGCGCACACGAACGCACGAACGCACGCACGCACGCGCACACACACACACGTGACACACACACACACGCACACACACGAGACACACACACACACATGTGACACACACACACACACGCGACACACACACACACACACACACGCACGTGACATATATTTAATAATTGTTTAACTTTATACACATAAAACTATAATAATGGAATTTTTCATTTCTTTTAGGAAATGGAGAGGATCTATACCCTGATTTGGGATGGGTTAACTCTAAATATACATGGAGAAGGCCTATTTTCTATGGGTGAAAGTAGATATTTGAAAAGCTTGATCGAGCTTTTTGTAATGCTAATTGGAGACTTAATTTTTCGATGCATATGTCAAAGTCCTTTCTAGTATGAATTTCTCGGATCTTCGTCCCATTTTAATTATGCCGTTTGGTAATGCTCATCGATCAAAAGTCAAATATTTTTATTTTGAAAGGGCATGGGTTACAAAAGCTACATATTTTAATATGATTAAAGATACATGCGATCCTTATATTGCTATTAATCAAACTTTGAAGCAGATGCAAGCTAAATTCAAAAATTGGAAGAATATTAATCTTAAGTGAAGTTTCTTTTGGATTGACTACATTATGTAAAACAAAGGGGAAATCGTTCAAGGTAGTTCTGGTGCATAACTTTTTATTGAGATTTAATCAGATTTGCTGTAGTTATTTTAGCAATGTTTGGCTGATTTGTTCGACAACTAGAGACATTCAAATCAAATTTAGAAGAGATTTAAATTTGAATTTGAAATATAACAAATCATATCTTTTTGTTGGAGACAATTACGGAGAAGATCACATCCAACAACATTAGCTTTGTTCTGGACTAAATCAAATCTGATATCCAAGGAGAAAAGCCCATAAGACATTTCTATATAAGGAGACTCAATCTCATGGTTGTGACATGGGTTTTGTGCACAATGTTTAGAATCTTTGTGTTAGGGTTTCTGACCTTATAATAGGCTCTCAAATTCATTCACTTATTTTTGTGGTTTTTATTTCTTTTTATTTTGATTTTATTTAATTAAAAGAAAAATAAATCAAATAAAATACCAATTAAATGGATTAAAACGTGTGGATATTGTTTTAATCATATTGGAGGCCCAAATATAAATCTTGAGAAGCAAGAAACCGTGTGAGCTCATGAAGATATGATTTGGCCAAATTTAGAAACTTTTCATGTTAATTTTGAATCAAATCTTCACATCTCTCAATCATGATGTCCAAACCCATATTTTTAACCTAATCATTTCTCTATATAAACACAACATGTTCAGACAAAGAGAGGACACGGATACTGCTTCAAAGAAGAACCCTAGAATTCTAAAAAAAATCAAGAAACAAGGGAAAGAACAAAACCTTGTTTGCAGCTATCCTCAATCAAGTTCAAGCATTCCATTATCATCCTGACGCACCTAGGAAGCTTTCCAAGTCCTTAAGCAATCAAAATCGTGCCTAGAACGCCACGTTTCATCTTCACTGGTTTTGGTAACTTTTTCAAATTCAAACCTTTAATTTATGCATTGTTAACTAATTTGATGTGTTCACATGTGTCTATATACATCATTAGAACATATTTGATGCATAATATATGAGATTTAGCACAGGAACAAGGACTTGCCATTGTTAGGGCATAATCTGAGTTTTGTTTCGAAACTCATGATACAACCAGTTTCAGACCAAAATAACATCATCATTGGATTCAAGAGGTCCAAATTAGGGGGATATGGCCATTCTTAATCCCTAACGCGCGTTGTTTTTGCAGGTTGAAGAATGGCCTCGTCGGAGACGACGACCGAAGCTAGGGCTCCGACGCTTCTCCGGTTCACTGGTTTATAATATATTGTTTGTTTCTATTATGTTAACAGATTGAAAGCGTAGCGCGGTTGGTTGAGATAGAGGCTTGTTAAACGAAAGGGCGTGGGTTTTATCCCTGTCTTACAACATTTATTTTTGTTATTTTCCAAACTAACATACAGGTTTATCATATAATAATCAAGTCCAATTTTCAAACACAAACAACAGCTTGACCTAGTGGCAAGGAGGCGCACGTGTTACTTTAGGAGTGTAGGTTCAACACTCACCCCATGCAATCCTTTTTTCTATTTTTTTCCTAACCTAATTATTTTTCTATTTTCTTTTCTAAACCCTAATTAACTTTTAATCAATCATTAAACTAACCTAATTTTTTCTTCTTAATACTAATAAATTAGGTTTAGGGTTTCAACTAATATTTAATTTTTCTTATTTTTTTATTTACTTACTAATTAATTAATTAATTAATCAAATTTTTTTATATTAAAATCAATTAGAATTTAGGTTTTATTAATTATTATCACTTAAATTATTTTTATAAAACATAAAAAAAAAAATATTAACTTAGGTCTTAGATCTTTTTAACATTTTAAACATTTTTCTATTTTATTTCTTTACTATTTAGTTTTCATAGATCAAGTGTATAGACCGCGTTCTTAATTGTAATAGAGTAGATTTATTTTTTACATATTTTTTTATTATGTAATTGCTCAAAGGATGTAACAACGTGGACATTTATATTCTCGCACTTATATTTTATGCTATGATTAGTAATTAGGACTGTATGGAAAGACTAATAACTGAATGTAGAAAATCCTAATGTTCAAGATAAATAACTGAAAACAAACACTTCGCACACTTGCACCTCTATGGTATCCTCTCTTGTTACCTTACAATACTTGGTCATGTCCCTCGAAAGTGGGTATACTTTAGCAAAAGACCCTCGATCAAATCATCATTGTCCCTTTCGAATAAAGATCATAATTCCTCGATGACCCTTCGAGTTACCTACAAAATAATCTAGTCTCTTCGATGACCCTACGAGCAAAATGATGATAGTCTCTTCGATACAATTGCTAAAGTATCCTTACATGTTGCCTTCGATGATCATACGATGACCCTACGTCTGTCCCTTCACATTCAATAGATAGGACTACCTACCAACTAATGGTACGTATAGTACTATCTCTAAAGAAAAAAAGAAAAGAATAAGAAAGACTTTAGTGGGTAAGAACTCTTAAATGCTTGCTCACAATTTTTCTCACAAAAAAACATTTTTCCCATATCATTTTCAAATAAACAAATATTTTCAAAAACACTTTGTAAATATTGAGAATTGATACAAGAATTATTACAAAGTTAGCCTTACATTGGGATTTCAAAAATATTTTCAAACAAATCACACTCAAAGCAAGTTTCAAAAAGTGAGCTAAGCAATTAAGAGTCCGTAGATAACTACGGATGAAAAGGGTGCTAACACATTCCCTTTTCATAACTTACCCCCCGGACTCAAAATATATCAAAGGTCTTTCCTATTCTTTTCACCTTTCCTAAATATTAGATAAAAGAAAAGTCGGTGGCGACTCTTGCTATCCACACATTTGGATAAAACCAAAAAAGTCAATTCTCCCACTGTATTACAGTATTACAAATACGCCATGAGCCTTAAGCACATATGGAGGACTTTGGATACGAGGCGCCTGACTCAACCATTCATAAGTATCTCATGTCATAGACTTTCGTATTGTACTTATCTTAAACACTTTCAAAATTAAGGAAGAAGTAGTCATGTAATTTCGGCCATGTGGAGATCATTTGAAGTATTCTCCCAAAAAAAAATACTCAACCAATTCAAATCTTTTTGCCCTCGGGTCTTTCTTCTTTTGAAAACCTTTTCCAAGAACATGTTAATTCCTTTCTACGAAAATTGAGCAAGTCTCCAAAGATCGAACTCTAGTAGAATACCGAAGTTTGACATTGTTCATTAAAAACACACAACAAATCAAAACACCTTTTTAGGTGAACTATGAGTGCCCTGATCTCTCATTGCACGAAAATGGTATGTAGGTACAAAGTTTCGCTACCGCGGAGGGCGCAATAATAAAAACTTTTCTTTTTGTATATACTTTGTATTCATGCATTCCCTTTATCAAGATTAAGCTTTAGATAACACACCCTTTGATTAGAACAAACATAGTGGATATCGTTGAGTACAACAAATGTTTAGGGTGCAAATACTTCACATTGCATAACCAACCCTCGTACCTTGATCTCTATTCTTTTGTGGATTTTATTTTCTCTTTTCCCTTTTCCTCTTGAAAAACAATAGTGCGGTGGCGACTTTTACTTTGTGAGTTAAGTCAATTAGTGGCTTAGTTTCAACTTTTCACCTTTACAAGTGCACAACCAACAAACAGAGAATCTTTTATGCTAGGATCTAGGTTGAAGTTGATATCACACAAAAATTGAGAGACACAATTACTATCATTGGTAATGATAGGAAGTGAATTCAACAGAAAGTGGAGTATCAAGGGAAACCACCCTTTTGTGGAAATTGCCAAATAGGACGCCACCAATGTCTACAAGCAACACAGAAGAAACATTGTACACCAAAAATGGAGACCACAAGCTAAAAAACATGGAGAGCAACCACCAGAAAGTACCACATCAGTTCCTGCCCAACAAGAAGGGGAGGGGAGTTGAACAAAAGCGACTAAGACAAGTAAGAGCTGACAAGATAGAGGGAAAGCTATGATGCTAGAAAATTCAAGTAAACCTATCACATGTAAAAATGGGTATGAGTCACTAAGGAATTTGAATGATCCTATGGTGACTACTGACAAAGGGCCATGATAGTATCTTGGAATATAAGGGTGTTAAATAAAGTAGGAAATAGTAGAGAGATTTGCTCTCATCTCCAGAGTCTTAGGCCTGAGATTTTTGTCCATATAGAAACCAGAGTTAATTACAATAAGGCAACTGGTATTAGAAATAAAATAGGCTTCAAAAGGATGTACCTGGACAATTACGCACATCATGAGAATGGAAGAATATGGATTATTTGGGACGATAACAAAGTGTATGTCAAACACGTAAGTAGCACACTTCAAAAGATTCATTGTGGCATATATGACCTTCAAGAATCTTTCATGTATTGGTTCACAACCGTATATGCATTAAATCAATTAGACCAAAGAAGAAGTCTTTGGAGAGACATAGAGAGAATTCATCACCATCTTCAGGGTCATTGGTGCATAGTATAAGACTACACAATATGCTTAAGACACAAGATAAAATGGGAGGAAACAAAGTGCATGAAGCTGAGCACTAAGTTGGCTACTAAAATGGAGGTTACTGGACTCTTTGAAATGGACAATGTAGGTGACCAATTCACTTGGACTAATAAGCAGGTGGAGGGAGCTATCTATTCTAGGATAGACATAGTTCTTGCTAATGTAACATGGTTCCAACAAAATCTGGATACAACATTGCATGTGATGGCACCTAGTGTCTCTTATCATGCTTTGTTATT